AACAAGTGGCATTCAGAGCAGTTCAGAGTGCCTGAGTGTAATGTTTCAAAGTCTTCACAGTGCAGAAGAGATTTTAATGTCAACATTTCTGCAATAGGCCTACATTCCATTTAATCATCTTTGTATTTGAACATACTGAAAGCTTGGCTCATGGTATTCGAACATACTGAAAGCTTGGCTCATGGTGCTGCTTCAAAAAATGTCCCAGGAAGCATCCCAGTGTCTGACATTAAAGGGTAGCCTATCTTTTATTTTGCATGAATGCACACAGCAAATCTTATGCAAATTAAGCCACTACTTTTCAAGATCTGTTGCTGACAAAAAGGACAGAGATGATCACATGTCATCCACTCTTTGGTCGGCCACACAAGTGACAGGCATTTAACAGTGACATTTAAAACATGAAACACAAATCTAAATAATAGAGGTGAAACATAATGTAGTCTGATTAAATAACACCTTTCAGGCACAAATTCATTTTCTTAGGAAAAATAGCCTGTAATTACATGAGTGACTGAAGTCTGGCTGTTCTGCATCATTCAAAGTTGGTAGGTAGAAGAATCCAACACCCAGATACAACAGTTGTTTCATTTTCACACAAAATATCTTAAAAATTACAATATGTACAAAAACTATGACCATGAGTACAGTGAACAACACATTTCTACCTTACCAGCTACACCCAATGAACTCTTCTATCTGCAAGTGGAAAAAAAAAGAGTAATTCCAGTAATGGAAGTAACTTTACTCAAGAAGTCTACTATACATAAGCACAACTCTGTTATTTTATACATAACATACTTTCAAACTTTCAAAATATCTGTTAATATAAAAATACTTGTGTTCTATTTAATTGTTAAAACTTTGATCACATCCATACCATGTATTTTGCTGCAGTATGTTTTAAAGCATATGCAAAGTCGAACATGTAGTCCATGATATGAAATAACCAAATAGCTCATTGATAATAAAAGCACAGATATCCATTTTATTCCCTGAGGTTCCACAGAGCTCCCAGTGGGAACATGAATGTCAGATTGAAATTCACCTTCTTACTCTGTGTAATGGTTTTCTCTGGCAGATGTTCTTGTTTCTATTTATCTCTCTAATACCATTTTTGGAGGACAAAATGAGGTCACATCAGTATGTCAAGATTTATAATATTGAAATATTCTCCACAGGGAATGAAGCCCATCAAAACAGGTACTGTATGTGACAAAAACAGCTTGATCATGTGTCTCAGAGGAAATTGGTTCAGAAGAAATGGGACAAATTTTGTTAAGAAAGTGTCAAAATAGAGCAGGAAGAGGAGAAGGCAATGTCACAATGGTGTAATTACCTCATGTTCTCATTTTCAGCAACTATTCCTGGTTTTACTGGTTTTTTAAATCCTGGTTATGTTAGAATGGCTTTTGATTTATGATCATCAATCGGTAATTAGAAGTGTCAATTTATATTGAGCAGATATTGCAAATACGTTTATTTTATTTGTGAGTACTCATGAACAATATTAAACACAAATATACTATTCTATCTGCAGTTCAGTTCATACCCCAAGGTAGCTGACCAATGGCAGGTTTACCGTGCTACAGTCTTCATGCAAAGAGTGCCATGTAAGTCAATCTTTCATCATGCATCTAAGATCATTTTCATGATATCAGAAAGCTGCAGACTGACATTGCCTAAACCTTTTGGCAGTGAAAGAACAGCGCCATCTTTCTTTTATGGGCAAAACAGCAACCAAGCAAATTTCCCTCCAATACTCAGTGGTGCAACACAACAACCTGGGAATCAGTAAAATCCCATATTTGCCAAAATGTTATTGGTTCCATATGGGTTATGCAAACCTGCAGTTTGTCACAGGCATGTCACTGTTTGGCTCTAGTTAGCTACAGAGAAACTTCAGGCTTACCATACCAGATGCTGGATTTAACTTCTGAGATTTACAGAATGAGTTCATGCCCTCAAAGAGAATTTCTTTTACTCAGTTACATCTTGTAGTTTCTGAGGGTACGGTTTACTATGTCCAGGATTTGAGATGTGCTCTCTGAGGTTTATGCTGAACTAGTTTATTCATGCTGTTCACAGAAGTGAAGATTTACACTAAAAAAAAAATCAAAAAATCGAGAGCAACATTTCTGAAAAACCTAATCCAGTGCCTAGTGCAGTATAACATCCCATAATCTTTTCAAACGGCTCATTGGTAAGACAGAGAGCAGTGAAGACAAGATATTAAAAGAGATTAAATGAGAGTAGGTGGGGCTGGAGTTGACTTCTTAGTGAAAAGGAATCAACTCCAGATGATAGTACTGATTTGCACCTCAAATGTATATTTCTTTATGAAAGGCTCATATCCTAACTATTCACAGGTTTCTCTAACCTTTTACAAGATGACAGAAAGTCATATGAAAGTCATATTACATTCTGGGAAATTTTTGTGTTGTGATGAAATTTGCTGGATGTGAATAAAATACACAAGGGGCCTGTGCACTGACTGATAATGAAATTAGACACTATCTGTCTGACCTGAGGAAGACAGTCCATCTTCTGGCCTTTGACTCTGATAGCTGGACGTAACATTTAGTTTGTAGTTTGTTCTTATGGTGTTTTGTTACTTGCTCTCTATTGCTGCTGGAACACAGGAATTTGTGTTTATTGTGGGATCATTAAAGTCCTACCTTATCTTACCTTACCTAGTTTGAGCCTGATGGAGAAATACAGACAGCAGCAGCACATTAAATGTCAGTGACAAAACAGTGAAAACACAAAGCAGGAGCCCTGTGATCAAACAGGTAATGTACAGTAATAAAGCAACCACTCTTATATTGTTTTGACAAATAAATGTGGGGGTATGAAAAAGCGCATGCTGTCTATGTCCTTCTGAAGATTTCTAAAGATGAGATGTGCTGGAAAACCTTAAAACACATCAACTGAAGCAAAACTGGTCCCTAGCAATACGGTATAAGAGGAAAATGTAAACATTACTGAAATATTATAGCACTGTTAACCAAATAAATGATTCAACTCTAAATGCTATTAGCATATCTTTGTTATTTCTACATTAATCTATCATGTCTTGGTGCTAACTCGCTTTGTTGCATTTCAAAAGCTATTATGACAATTATACTACTACAGTACACTATAGATATCTGCAGTGCTTGTGACAATCACTTGTAAATTTATCATACTTTATCACACTTAATACTTATGTTAAGTAACACCAATGGATCTTTAATAGGCCAACAGGAATAATCATTGCACATGCATCCCAATACAATCATCAGAAGACTACTTGCAGCAGTTGTGTTTGTAAAAAGAAGGGGATACAATATTTTTTGCACAGGACAAAAAAAACTGCTGTGGACTTAAAAAAAGACACATTTGCAAGCCAGTTTGAACTTTTGAACTAAAGCATATATTTGCCTTTAGAATTTGTAATTTGAAAAAAAAAAACAAAAATTAGAGGAGTAGACAAACAGAATTATGAGTGTGAATGCTTTTACTAAGCTGCTTCATATCAAGTTGATCAGATTTGATTATATAATATGAGCCAATGTACGTGTGAGTAAGATCCTGAGCTATGTCTGATTTCAGCTGTCTCAGAGAGCAGAAAAAACACAGAGCTCTCACTCTGCACCAAATTCTGAGTACCGCATAAATAATTTGGATTCTACCCCAAACAGGAAGTGATGGCTTCTGTTTCTTAAAAGACAGTTGTAATTATACTGAACTGAAGTGAAAGGTACTAAATGACTTCTATCCAGACAAAGAGGAAACCTTTGTCCCCACATGTTTTGAATATTTTCTGACTGAATGATGAGGTCCCTGTTATGGTTAGTCCCCCTCACCAGGGGGGTGAGGGAGAACTAGGGGTTGGACTCAAGATTGCTGACCCAGGTGCTAGTGCAAAAAGGGGGTTTATTGGAAAAAAAAACAACAACAAAGTAACAACATAACAGGGTGCGTAATACTTACAACCAGGGAAGGACAACTAAGGAGACCAGGACGAACAGGTACACACACAAACTAACGGTAGGAAACAGGGTAAGTATTGTCCATAACATGTAGTAATGCTCCGAAGATAAATCAAAAATGTGTGGCGTAGTGGGAATAGCGTAGGTTATGTGGTAGAGTCAAGCCAAAACCGCACAGAGTCTGTCAGTGTAGCATTCTACCCCATCTAGGTTGCGCAATACATTGATAATGTTCCGGCAAAGACAGAGCGTCTGCCAGAGGTTTAAATAAGGAGGAAAAGTAATCATCGGGATGCACCCCAGCTGTGTGCATCGACAAACCAGTTGCTTGTGCATCCATTCTCTCCTTCTCCTGGTGCCCTTTCACTAAGCCACCCACTAAACCAAGCATCTGTTTCATGAATAACCACCAACCAATTTAATAACTTCAGACATGTCTATACCATGTACTATAACTAATCCAGGAGCTTACTGTCTATAGTCTGATTTAGAGCTCTGAATTGCTGCCCACATCTAAAAAACATTTTTTTTTTCCAATTCAAATATGTCTAGTGCTAAGTTCAACGATAGTGGGAAACAAAAAACTGACACTATAATAGCAAGAAGCAAGGATGAAATCAATGCAATTATACCTGTTGGTGTGAGCAGAATTACAGGAACAACGTTTTAAATTTAGATATTTCATGAACGATCATGTGAAAAACATTGTTACTTAGCAATGAAGTCCAGTGAAATGGAGTTTTGTTTGTTTGTTGGTATCAATATGGTTTTTCAAATATATAACCATTTAACAGTTTGAACTGGGAGCCAAGAGAAATTCATTACTTCCTTCCTTCAACCCTAATAAAGTTAATATACAAAACAACAAAAGGCAAAACAACATAAAAGACAACTTTGAATATAATGTTGCATCTCCCCTACGTGTAAAACTTTCTTGCAATAAAGATACTAGAAAATCGAACGATATTACAAATTGGATGATACTAGAAAAAAACCCAGATGGTGGTAAAGTGAGCCAGCTATTTACGACTGAGTGAACCATCTCGTTCACAGAGGATCTTGGGTTCCGCTGTGACCGGACGGACCAGTCCCGTCTGACCTGTAGTGAAACTTCCGCAGTGTCAGCGCTTCTGAGCCCGATATAAAATGCCGCCTCCTGTCTTTCACCCTCTTCTGAGTGGAGACAGGGTCTGACAAACTGTTTACCAGAACCAAACAACAACCACTGCCTCTTGCGTAACAAAATAAAATGACCACCTCCGCTCAGCCCATATTCTCCAAGGGAGAGGACTGCAAGGCACACTGGGAGGACGCTAGCGCTGGCTACAATGAAGCCGATACACACCTCCAGATCATGGGCAAACCCGTAATGGAGCGCTGGGAGACACCGTACATGCACTCCCTGGCCACCGTTGCAGCCTCAAAAGGTAAAAGTGACTTAAAATTTGACGCCAACGGGATTCCATTATCGGACACTATGTTGACTTGATGAGTATAATCGGACAATAGAAACAAAGTTTTTAATGCAGCCTCAGTAGTATCTCAAATCGGCGTTTTGTGAAGGTGACACGTTTTTGAGTGTTTCCAAAGATAATTCAATGTAATTTATGGTCATAAATGATCGTTTATAGTTTTAATAGGTTCACAAACATTTAGTTTGTCCAGTGAAGAGTTGAAAATGTATATCTTAAAAAGGTTAAAGGGTTAATAAATCACTGATTTTAACTGTCTACAGAGGCCTGTTTTTATAAGTTTGAAAAACAATTCAACTGATTTTCATAGAAGTTAAATAATCACACATTGTGTGTCAGTGCCGGTTTGTAGCAGGGTAATTTTTGCACAGACTGGGCTTACTTAACTTTTGGTAAATGATCTTGAGGACACATGAGAGAGCTCAGTGAGCACTACAGCAGCTGTTACTATACTCACAGGGACTGTCCAGCAAATGTGCAGGGGGAAGCAGCTCATCTGTTCTTAGCTCAGTGTGAAAATAGACTGAGCCACACACCCTTGGACATGTGGGAAGGGATCAAATGTGCCAAAAAAATTGCTTTTATGTACTATAACGTGCAAATTAAAAATTAGTTTAAAACAATGTGCACATTGTTAGGGTAGGAAATGCCACTCGTATTGAATCTGGAATGATTAAACTGTTAATTTGATGTCAGACAGCCTTTGTCAAAACTGAAGGTCAGTTTTTGCAAGTTCCTTTACAGAATTACAATGTTTTACCTGTGAAATGTCACAGATTTTTTTGTCTGTATTATATTTACAAATTAACAAAGTTAAAATATGAACATTAGAATGCTACTATGACCTATGATTATAGTATGCCTAAACATCACCAGATGTCAAGCAACAACAAATAGCATTTACTCCATCTATTTATATGCTTCTCTGCAAGTAAATGAAACCCTGTGGCCTTTCTGTCCAGCCACATGCTACAACCAACTGTCTTTACCTCGACACCCAACAGAGGGAGAAAACTGAAACCAAACAGTAATAAATCACTGGATCATAGAGCTTGTCTTTCAAGAGAGAGAGTGTGCACTAATACTGCCAGTAAGGGTAAGGGCTCTAAAGTAATCCTATTATTGTGTTAATGTGCCATAAAACAACATGTTTCAATGGAGTCAACTAGGACAACAGAACGATTCACTTTGGTGGAACACAACACTGTTTTCTTTTGTTTTGGTGGCATATAGTCATTTTATTAGTAACACTGTACAGAGGCAGGTATGTCTAGCTGTAATTAAACCCATGTTGTTACAGTTATATTGATGTGCCTTAAACCACTGGCAAACTGGATGCCAGAAACTGTACTTTTGTTGGACAAAAATGTCACAGAGGTGTTTCATAGACTTTCAGCAGTTTGTCTGTGCAGGTTCTCAGTCATCCAGGTCATAGTAAGCTGAAAAAAACTTGATTTGTAGGTCGAAGACGTTTCACCTCTCATTAAAGAGGCTTCTAAGTTTTTTTCAGCTTTCAGCAGTATGGTTACCAAACAAGTGAAACACATCAGACTCCCTGGCTCATATTACACAGTTGAGAGAGATATTCTCACACTGAAATACTGGAACGCTTCACTTTCAGTTTTGATGTGTTCTGTCTGCTAGGCGGTCGGGTTCTGGAGATTGGTTTTGGTATGGCCATCGCCGCCACTAAAATTGAGTCTTTCCCGATTGAGGAGCATTGGATCATTGAGTGCAATGACGGTGTCTTCACCAGACTTGAGAACTGGGCCAAGTCTCAGCCCCATAAGGTCAGCAGGCCAGTATTGTCAACCTGTGTTGAGTTATCATAGACACATTTGTTGGACCCTGGTATGAATGTTTGCAGGTCTAGTTTTGAGATTTTTTTTTTCTTAATTGTGAAGATGCTGATGAGTTGTCTCTGCAGGTCGTCCCTCTGAAGGGCCTGTGGGAGCACGTTGTTCCCACCCTGCCAGACAACCACTTCAATGGTATGAAATCAACCCAGACACTGGGGATCTTTGGCCATTTGTGGATAATATTCAGCTCACTGTTGTGTTTGATGCACAACTCTGGGTTTACAGTTTTGAGAAAATAATAAAACATGGTCAGACTAGAAATTTTGATCAGGCGGAGTTCACCACACTCTGACTTGAATGTGCAGTTCAAATTATTGAATGCTGCAACACAGTGTACCGTATCATCCATATTCTATGGATAGGGCCCAAGCCACTTGCACATTCCAGTGCTTGAAGGATGAAAAGACATAAAACCTCTGTGGAAGAGTTATTGACTAACTTCATTGTACTGTATGTACACTGCTTACACTGTGTCACCCCTCGCAGGTATCCTGTATGACACATACCCTCTGTCAGAGGAGACATGGCATACCCACCAGTTTGACTTCATTAAGGTAGGTGGTTCACATTCACATGTCACACCAGGAAGTTACACAGAGGAGGTACCCTGAAAAGAGTAAAATTCTGCAGCAGGATAATCGCTGAATAGTTTGCATGAAAAATTAGATTAAAGAAAGTACAAAACATGTATCAATATACCATAACAATACCTCAAATGTAAAAACAGTGGCTTCAGTCTTAACTGTCAGACTGTAGTTTTGAAAGCTCACACAGTGCAGATACTGTATAACTGATAAATGCTTCACTGGCGTCACTTACAGTGAAGCATGTTTGTCTTCATTAAGTTACATGCTGATAGGGTTGAAGGCCTGACAGATTTGCTGGTGTGTGTTTTTCTGCAGGGCCACGCTCACAGGCTGCTGAAGGCCGGCGGTGTCCTCACCTACTGCAACTTGACCTCCTGGGGCGAGCTGCTCAAGACCAAATACGACAACATTGAAAGGATGTTTGAGGTTGGTCACCTTCATTAGCCCCTGAGGGACTTCAATATTTGTGCCACTGCATTGCTATCTCTTCTTAGTTACATTTCATACTTCAGCAATGCAACAGAAAGTTTGTAGAAAGTGTAAAGTCACTACTGTCTCACCACCGTTTACAGTTTAGTTTGCAGCTATGGGTAGCTTTAACATCTCTTGTCTGAAATGAATGAAGACAGTCCATCAAAGTCACACACAAAAAAACACCATCCAGTGTCTTTTACTATGCATTTTGACTTTTTGGAATCATTTTGTCACTTTGTCACTGTGACAAAGATGTTACATACTTAGTATCTGCTCAAACTTCACATTGTGTAGAACCAAGAGACTACTTCAACAAATGTTTTTGCAGTCGCTATTTTGTGAAAGAAAGAAATAACATTCACATCAAATCCTGAAAACACAGTGCATCACAAGGCCGAAATTATAACTGAAGTCCGTCATAAGCTGTATGCTGTTGCTTGTCTGATCTCTTTAAAGACTTGCAAACCTCAAGATTGTCATTATTTTGTGTAGGTTTTAGTGGCCTGTGCAGTAAATAAAGTATTTTGCAGAACAAGGCAGCTGGGCCAGTCACTGTAGCTTAACCTAAGCAAATGCAACACAGGCTAAGTCATATTATTTTTTTTCAGAGGGTGGTAATTTTCTCATTTAACTGGAAAATACCAGTAGGACTAGTGGATCTTGAAAAGGAAGGATAACAGCTGGACTGCTGAGCGGACCCTGGCATTCAAATGAAACTGCCAATCAAGTCAGAATAAACAGCAGATTTTAAAAAAAGACATTAGGTGAGCAGGTTAGGACTACAGAATGGTGTCGCCTGTCATGAGGCAGGACCCAGTGATCAGAACATCATAAATACTGGACGTCTACAGCAAAGCTCACCCAGATCCTGCCACATTGAACTGTGTGGTGATAAAGGTAAACAGTCAAGTTACTGAACACCGAGACAACTGATATCAGTTGAACTGTAGTTGTGGACACCTGTGAGTCAACACAAGATTGTTCATGTGCTTCATCATCATGATTGCTTAGACTCGAGTATTTGAGAGATTTTTGTCAAGGCAGCATTTATCACAGGGTTGAGTTGCGTGCAACCAAAGTTGTGGGCTGAGATAACTTTGTTAATATTAACCAGTTGTAAAACTATGTGTTGCTTCACACTTACCATGTCTGTCTGTTAATGATTTTTAGGAGACTCAGGTGCCTCATCTTCTTCAAGCTGGCTTTAAGAAGGAGAAGATTAGCACCACCACAATGGACATTGTACCACCCAGCGAATGCAAATACTATTCCTTCAATAAGATGATCACTCCCTCCATCCTCAAAGAGTAAAGTCTACAGACACTACTTTAGCTTTTTTTTTTTTATTCAAATGTGCCTTTTGACCTGACCCCACTGACCTCATTCTGTTTCACTGTCCGCCACATTTCAATAAACCCAAGCCCATCCCTCTGTTTACATGTGCCTGTATTTATTTTGACATCCATTTCTTTTGTGAAGCAGTTTCCATTTCAGAAGCTCAGGCTGTTTCTAGACCAATCTGAGTTTAGGTCTTACTGTCAACACGGCGCCCTCCCAGGCGACTGTGTTGTGTCTATGCACTGATTGACTGAAAACAAATGAAACCACCTTTATGCATTTTCACCCAACTGAGTCTCAGCTGTTTTAGGTCTTCCATCACCCAGCATGTTTTTTTGCCATGCGTAACCAGTTTTAGACCAAACCGTAGATACATGAATGTCAAGTTTAATATGCAGGTTTTACAATTTAACAGTATGAACATTTAAGGGAAAACTTTTTTGGAGTGTCCTCCTAAAACTGTTGAAAATCTGAGAACACTTAGATTTAATGCAAGCAGAGTTCCATATACAGTGTGGTTTAAGTCTATAGATAACCCTGCACATTAGCTGAACATGTGGGAATAAGATATCGCCTGGCAAGGACACATTTATCATAGTATATATGATGCAACACCTGGCTGTAGCCAGGTGGGAAACTACAGCAGCTGGCAGATCCTAGTGCTGAATCAGGAGCACATGACTCTTGTATTTTAAGGAGTTAGTCAAAGATTTTAAAGAAACATGAAGAGGCAAAAAAAAAACTTGATATAGACGAAGACAAGATCTGAACACCAGGACTGAAAAAAACTAGTTGATCAGTATATACATATTTTTAAACAATACCAAAATTCTTGTTTCAGCTGCTCAAATGTGTGGAGTTTTTGGTTTTCTTTGTGATATAAAATATTAAAATGAATTTATTTGGGGTTTGGACTCTTGCCAAATTAAGCAAGGAATGTGAAGATGCCTCCTTGTGCTTTGGGAAACTATAATAGCCATTTTTCACTTTTTTGAACAAAACAATTAACTGACAAATTGAAAAATTGATTAGCTAATTGATAGTAGCAACAGTTAGTTGTAGCAACACCTATAAGATTGGACTCGTAAGTTACAATACTTCTACTTAGTCCAGTAACCTGTAGGTGTGATGCAAATAAGTGATTTATTGATGTACTAATTGATACGCTTATTATTTTCTGTTGCGACACTGGGACACACGTTTCCCCCCTTTAAGGCAGATATCTGTCTATTCCGCTCCATTCAGTTTTTGCCTGCTTGACTTTTAAATAATGGCACATGTTCATGCTGTTGTGTGTATTAAAGCCGAGCCTGTGATTCTGTTAACACACATTTTCACACAGCCTTGTTCACAGAAAGCCACCTCAAACCACAGAACCTACCATTATATTTCTAGGTTTGCACAGTACTCTGAAACAATGACCTCAGACTTAACACTCAAAGTTCTTCTAACCACTGATGTGCGGACACAGGACAGTGCAGGTCAGAGCTGGTGATCACAGGAGCCACCTAGTGGCTCAGACCTGACTTTGGTGGTCTCAACATTAATTTGACAACAGATAATACAGCTTCATTTCAAGCTCTGTCTATTAAAAATGATATTTAAAATATTGTATATTTGACAGAAATGTTCATGTTTAAAATTAGAAAAATAATGCATATGGCTACTTGAGAAAATATGAATTTAAAATGTGGTTTAAATTCTAAAAGAAGTGTAAACCTATTTATACATTTCAGCTTGTTACACAGACACTTTCTAGATATTAATACTGATCTAAAGAAACAGAAAAACTGAGCAGGCCACTGCTGTGTTTGATTGAAAATAAGTCTCACTGAACTGTCTGTAAATTACAACAAGGATTTTATTGAAGATAGTTCCTTCAGCTCTACATACGGTACATACCACATATACACATAGCACATTCACTTCCGATACCAGATCCGTAACTTCTTTTCACGTTTGATTTTCCTCTGTAGCTGTAAAACCCCGTAGAGGAGAGCCTCTGCGGTGGGGGGACAACCTGGGGACAGACAAGAAACAGAGACAAGGCGTCCACATACCTTTGGCCAAATAGTGCATGTTTGAGATGTTCTAAGTTTAATGAACAGTATTTTTAATGTGATATATAAAATGTTTTAGACTGAATCTCTTCCACATTGGCACTAAAGCTTACCTGGAACATAAATGTCCACTGGTACGATTCGGTCGCAGCCTCTGACGACAGAATAGGAGTAGTGGTAGTAGCCTCCTCCATTAGCACAGCTAGAAGAACAAATTTATGATAACACTTCTGATTATTATAATAATTAAAAGCATAGGTTTAAAACCTGCCCCTAAACCTGTACAGACAGCAATTATACACCTATATAAGTGCAAAAGATGTGCAACCATGACCACAATAAAAGACACAATGTGGTTTTCAACCTAAGGCTTGTGGCCATACAACAGTAAGATTAAGAACTCTGGACAAAAGCAGAATCAACAACATCACGGCTCAGCTTAACAGCCAGAAACAGCAACTGTTAGTATCAGAACACCTGTGGGGACTTTACAGATGCAGGACAGAATACAGATAACAAGATGAGTGACAGGTGCTGAAACAATTCAAGATTTACTGAGGAAGAGCGCGGCACAATGTCAGTAACGTAAACCTCTTCAGGAGGTTAATTACCTTCCCATGGAAATGACATATCTGGGCTCAGGCATCTGGTCATACACCTGTTGGAGAAAAGTAGTCGTTTAGCTCTTATATAACATTTGACTAAGACCTCATCTGTCCTTTCAGCAGGTGGAAGGTTCCCTGCCAGTCTACCAGTCCGCCGACAGGCTGGTCATAATCCCGCCAGCATTAACACAGCTATACTGTTCTCGGCACTCCCAAACACAAACATCTACAAGCAAGAGCACTTCCAAATGACAGTCTACCTCAGTGCAGAAAATTCTAATCTTCCCTTCATTTTTTCCTCCTTTTCACAGACCTGAATCAAACTTGAGACGGAGTTGATATTTGGAGAGTTATAGAACTGCACCAGCCATTACTGCTGCAGCACAGTCCCTCCTCTCACCTTCCGCAGAGCTGGAGCCATCTTATTGGTCAGTGTTCCTGCCACGATCATGACATCAGACTGTCGAGGACTTGCTCTGAACACGACTCCGAAACGGTCCATGTCATAACGGGGCGCTGCCATGTGCATCATCTCCACTGCACAGCACGCCAGACCAAACGTCATAGGCCACAAAGAGCTCTGGGGGGAGGGTTACACAGCAGTGATTAGCCAATAAAACTAACAGAGCAGACAGCTACTTATGGCACAAGATGAGCAGCGAGCACATGTAGGCTAGAGATGCACCATAATATCAGATTCAAGAGGCAGAATTATATGTACATACTGACATTACTCCCTCTGCTGACATTTGCTAGACTGTAAAATAACAACAGCCCAGTAGGAAATAACAGTTCCATGAAGCTCATGAGGACCACACACGGTTTTATTCAGACTTTATGTTGTTGTTAAGCAAATACCCCATAACAGCCTATGAGCCGGTGCTGACGAGAGTTCGCTCTCAAACAGGCTTCCCATGCTGTCTCTGTTTTACAACTGTACTTTGTAGGCAACAACTTTGGCCTGTTTTTTGCCTCACAGTTTGACTTTTTCTGCCCTTAAAACTTAGCATTTGTTACTTTCAGACCTCTCTCACACCTGACAGACTGTTCAAGGGTATTTCAAATTATTCACTTGAGTGGCTGCCTTTATTATTACTGCCTTAATTGCTGGTGTAAATAACAGTCAACCTGCACCATAAAACATTTTATATAAGAAATAGTTTTTGTAACTGCTGGTGAACACAGAGCAAAAACTGAAGCAAGTGAGCAGTTATGTGATATTTTACCAGCTAACAGTCTTGAAGGAGAAACAGTAGTAAATGTATGTATGTAAAGACACAGAAATCCATTTACAAAAGGCAACACCACCAATCATGGGGCATTTTAAATTAGCAGTCTAAAATCTCACACAGTGAAATGAATCACATCCAGGAGCCTTGTGCTCTCTGTCTCCCTATGTTAATGTTTGCCCTTGTTTCTCCCTCCCCTTATGTGTTTTTACTTCCTTTCTCCTATGCGTGAACAACATAGGTTTTGGTTCTTGTGTATATGCATAGTCTCTTCTCTTTCCATGTCTTCATGGTGGAGAGGTCATGTCATATTCTTCATATACTGTGTTTACACCCTGTTGACACTTTTATCATTCTGGTTGTCCATGATGTAAATCTGCTGTTCTCTATTCTGCATCTACTGCTTATTTATCTGATCTCTCCTCTGTTGCTCTTCTGGGGGAGTTCTTACTGTTTTTTCCAGGCTCAAGCGTTTTTTTTGAAGGAGGAGTTTTTCAAAAATCCAAGGACAGAGGGTGTTATATGCTGTACAGATTGTAATACCCCTAAGGCAATTTTGTGATTTCTGATATTGGGTGACATAAATAGAACTGGCAGAGTACTTGGCTGTATATCAAAGTTTGTGACCTGGGATTAAATTATCTCATTCTCAGTGGGAGAAATGAGGATGTAATCTATTCAACACATGCTGGATACCAACACAGCCAACAGCATCTCATCTACTCACCCTGCGTGCCCAGTTAACCAGGTCATCCAGCTTAGTGATAACATACTCCCCCCTGCTACTGGGTACAGATGCTGGTTTGGCTGCTGCCACTGCTGTGCTCTTGTCCTTGACTGGAACCACACTGCAACAGAAGGAGGGAAGCGAGAGTACAATGTGCAAAGAGATTATAGGGTGTCTGTTGTTCATTCTGATAGTTACACCAAGATATTTTTAATAAATAAGTCTTTTTTAAAATAAACTCACCTTGGGCTTGCATTCTCATTTTTTGCACTACTATGCAGACTCTTCTGTTGACCAGCAAAAAATGTAATGGGCCTATTGGATGTAGCACAGGTCAAAGGGAGAAATAACAATAATAAAAAAAATTAAAAAGTCCCAGCAAGGAACAAACAAATCATTATCACAGAATATCCACGTGTTAAAAACAGTCAGCAAAAGAATCAAATATAACAGTCAGTTCTACAAGAGGACAACAGTGTAACATTAATGTGAATTTTAATCATTTTATGATTTTGGGTGTGATGGACAGAATTCACTGTAGAGAATTCTGATTTTAACTCCTAAACTTGCTGATGCTTTAAAAAATTAAACTGACTGAGGGGAAAGTGCAAATGTTTCAGTCTGCTTTTGAGTGAAGATTGTTTCATCCTGCTATTTTCTTCATATTCTTCAATGGAAGATCATCTGACCTCAACAAAGTAACTGAGAATTGGCAAAAGTTAACAAAATAAAATTCAGATGTGCTGATGCATGCGTTGAATGTGAAAAGAACCATATATGTTTTATTAATGTTATAGAACCATATTTTAGGTTTGGCTCCAATTTCAGCTAGCTGGGCTTTTCATATGACTGAATTAAAAAGCAAGCATGAAAAGCAAATCCAACCAGTGAGAGATTAAATTAGATTTTGAAACAAGGAAGAAGATTAGATGGTTCTTACCTTGTTGATAAAGAGCCAAACATGGCCAGGCGAGGGACTGAAAAAAAAAATCATTAAACAGACTTAAAAAAGTATAAAGATGATACTGGCATTTTGTAAGAATTCCACATGTATTCATGCTGAATGTAGTATTGTCAATGTAGCTGATTACCATCCACCAAACTGTGCTTACAAGTAGCACCAGCAACTTTATGAGATACAATCAAACACACACAGCGACTCCATTGAAACCTAGGCCAAACACTACTGCATTGTATGTGGCAAAACCACCCAAACAACAGAATGGGAGCAGTCAGACACTATGAAGCCATAAACTCTGAATGTAGGAATAGCCCAGACTCAACCTAAATATTTGCAGTTTTAAATTTTAGTTATGAAGAAAAGTCAAGAGAGAGACCGTTTTACATTTTCCAAACTAGAGACTGATATTTTACGGCATGCGGTGCTGTTTGTTGTATCCAGTGTAAAGTTCCTCCTAGCACTTTATACGTCGCATAACTGTTCGCAGATACATGTCTGAATCCTGTACTTGCAGAGTTTCATAAAGCGTTTGACAATCCATACACAGCTGACGCCAAGCATTGGAGGGGCTAGCGACACACCGGCTGTACTGGTCCAACAACAGTAAAAAAATATAATCAAGTGACAGACACTAAGTAGTTTAAATAAGACACACGAGTTATTCTGTGTGTAACCACCCGCTAATGTTAGCTTGCGCCTTAAATGGAGTTCATGCAAGCTCTACTGCTAGCTAACCTGCTTAGCCACCATGCTAACGCAGACAGAGCAAGGTCAGTGTGCATTCACTACAAGTTACATATCCCGTAACCGACACAGTCATACCACTGAGTAGAGGGCACTTTTATGTGCCTAATGCTGAAACAACCAGAATAACATAAGCCTAAACACAGCAATGTTTATTAAAAGCGTGTCATTTCAGTCAAAACATTACTCACCAACCAACGCCGCCATGTTTATATTACGATTACGTCAAACTGCTTCCGGTGTTGTTGCTCGAGCTACAGAGTGCGCTGTGGTAACATTAAAACCGCTTTATATATAGTAATAAGTAGGCTACTAATACTAATGCTATTATTCTTCTTCTTATTATTATTACTATTGGTGGTGGTAGTAGTAGTACCCTATTAGTTTTGAAAACAAAAGGACCACCAGGAGCCATATAGATCAACCTGGCAGTGCATTAAATCCGATCAACTCCTTTCTTTGTGTTCATTTTAAAGGTCAAATAAAATTGTATTGAATGAAAAAATTTATAATAAAATCCTTTTCTCCAATACCCAATATGACTATCTAAAGTGACATTATTATTATTATTATATTTTAAGTTTCCCCCATACATACAAGAATAAAAATATGTATAGTATACTTCACATTAATATGAGTGTGTTTATTGTATATTTATAAGTACTTTATTTTTCTGTTTTATTTTCCTAATGCACATTCCTTTTTCTTGAGTGCACTTTTTTTCCTCCCAGTCTTATCTTGTCTACTCGTTGCCTACAGAAAAACATTGCTCATGCACATGTATAGCCACTGTACCACAGTCCAATTCCTCGTGTTCGACGCGCCTGGCCATTAAAACTGATTCTGATTCAAGCTGTTTACTGTCCTCCAGTGGTGACACCTTCACAGTCTGCACTTTATGAGCTGTACAGTGAAAAATTAGATTATTTTTATGTGATAGATAGATAGAAACTTTATTGCAGAGTCAAGGTCCAAATTCTGAACAATAAAACAACAACAAAAAATGTGAATAAAGAATTTTGAATTGATGTTTAAAAACTCTCTATAATGAAAATAAAATATTTAAAAAAATTAAGATGAACAGTACCCAGGTATACGGTAGAGGATTAGTGCTACTGTACAAAATGTATTTGAGTCCTGAATTTTTTTCTTAGAATTCTGACTTTAAACTCACATGCATAAAGAATTTTGAAAAATGAAAAAAGTGTCAGAATTCTGAGATTGAAATCAGAATGCATTTTGCAAAGTGGCCATAATCCTGACCAAATGAATTTCCTCTTTTGGACAGAGTAAATTTTTATACGAGTGCTGCACAGCTTGATAAATGTTAAATCTGAAATAACATTAAAACAAAATTCTGCTTGCATCTCCTTGCTAAAAGGTTAAATGACTAAAATAAAGCAAAAATACCTCCAGAGAAAATGTTAGGAAAATTAACAACGATGACATCAGCACTGAGTTTAGAGACACATGTTTCAGCAGTGGTGGTTTGTCAGATATGACTGTAGCAGAAATTAAACCTTTTGATTTATTAAATTGGAAATTTAAAACAGACTGAATATTTTTATTTTATCTTGATAAAACTTCTAGTCAGATTTATTACCTTTCATGACAGTAACTTGGATAGCTCATTAATCTCAAATTCTTAGTATCCTGTTTCTCTTTTAGTCTCATTTTGGTGCCACAAACCCAGTGAGCAACTTCAGTAGCAGTGAAGCTGCCAGCAGGGTGGAGCTGGACAGCAGTATGTTATCACATAATGACAGTCCCAGTACTGAACACACACACACTGCACTTTCTCCAGGAATAGCTGCCCAGTCAAAGCAAAAGCAGAAACAGTTCAAAACCAACAGGAAAATATAAAAAGGCATTTTTACAAATGGCTTTTATTCTGTCTTCATCATGTACAAACTTTTTGGACAGTTAAAATAATAAATCACAGATACAGGCTCTTGAATAGCTTAAAAGGACAAATGTTTGAAGACAACAGCACTGTTCAAAGGCTTCCTCTGCTGCTAGCAGAAAAAGAGCTCTGGCATTTCAGATAATAAGCATGAATCCACATTTGAAAAAAATCCTGTATAAGAGGAAGAAAAATACAAGTTAAGCTGTCACAGACGTGGAGATTACAGCGGCAGTGTGTGTTGAACTGCAGACCACAGGAATGGCCTATATTTGGAAAGATCTCCTCCTCTGAAAGAAGAAAGCGTTGCTCGCCTCCTCACTGAGAGTCCAGGATGTCTGTGGGTAGGACGTCTGGTTTGCCACTTGGGCTCTGTGATGTCTCCCGTGACCAGGAAGAGGGAGTGACCTGATTATAGAGAAAGTCATGGGAGCCAAAAAATGGCTCTTTGAGATTCTGGATGTACATGAGGAACAGATTGAGAGCCACCATGGCAAGGAGCGGGAAGATGGTCAGGCCAGAGCCGAAGCCTCGCCAGGAGCTGCACACATTCAGGCAGACCCAGTAAACAAGCCTAGGAGGGATTAAAAAAAAAACAACAAAACAGGAAATCAGATCATGTTTAGACCTCATTGATGAACTCTCACAGCCTCTATGGCACGTGTTTAACCAAGCTAGAAAATAAGTACACTTTAGCAAGGGTGGAAAATAAAATGTACTCAAGCATTGTCATTTATGACAGCTTTAGCTACTAGATTCAGATTATTAATGCAACTAATAAATTCTGTGTTTCAATGTCATGAACAAGCTGCTCTTAAATGAGTCAACAGTCTGATTAGCTCCGAGTTGGTTTTATGAAAAAGTTTGATCCTGGTTCAGTTTGCTAGGTGCTTTTCAGAGCCTCCTTCATGAAACACCCTCTCAGGTCCACTTTTAAGCCTCACCTTCCAAAGATGAACATGGCAACCACTATAGGTACCAACTTCAGCTGATCCTGAGGCAGCAAAGTGGCCATAACGACCAGGTTGAGGATGTAGAGGAGTAACTGCTCCAAGGAAGCTGTAACAAACAGCTGCTGAACTGCCCGTCTTCTGGAAAACGATTCGTGCAGACTGAAGGAGCTGGTGCAGAACTGGCATGCTGCACCAACGAGCATCGCTGCCAGGGAGAGAACAGCACTAAGTCAGTTAGCATCTTGAATCTGGGCAATCATCCTGCAAATGACTCTGAGCCTTCAGCAACTCCTAACAGCACTCAATCTCATCTGACACCATACTTTGTTTTTCTAATGTCTTCATTTGAATACAGAAACCATCAGCAGAATGGCTTGCATTCAAATACTGCTCACTGCCATCAGCTTGACAAATAGGTGAGAGGAACATGGTCTGGACAGGCTTTGGTTTTGGATGTTTCTGCCACCTGCCCTCTCATTCTGGTCACTCGGGTTGGAAAGCAATTAAAATACTGTGAAACAATTAGGCTACAGCCTGAGACGTGGCCAACCTCTCAGTGTAGTTTCCATTTAAAGCTATGCACAGGAGAAGAAAAAGACACTTCTCGCCAGAAGCCTGGGGAGACATCTGCTGCACTGAGGTTGAAAGGGCATGAAATTAAAAGGGACGAGACATTGAAACATTCCTAGACAAGGCAGCCAGACTAACCAAATCCTCACTTAATCTTTATGTTTCATTGGTGGTGCTCACTGACTGTTGCTGAGTGTCAGTGTGCAGTGTGTGGTGTGCAGCGTACCAAGCAGGATCGGGATGACTGCCATCACACAGCAGCAGAAGGTGAAAATGATGCGGCTGGCCATGTCAGGGCAGTCGGGGGGTTTAATAGGAACATAGAAATAGAGTGCATAAAGGATCCCAGCCGCACACAGAAGAGAGGCCAGGACTGAGAAGAAAGCAGGAACTCGGCCACTTTGACAGCATCTACACTGGCAGCAGCATCGTCCCCGATCTGAAGCCTCGCCTGCACCCTCGCAAGTCTCTCCCCGCCCCTCTGAGCTCCACACTGTCAGCTCCACGCTCTCCGGCAGTGGGCCTATCAGAGGTCGGCCCTCATCTGTGGTGCACTCCAGAGTGGTGGATTCTGGACTCCATCTCGGCATGTCTGTGCCGTTGGGAATGTCTCCCTGAGAGGCCAGGGTTGGAGTGCTGATGCAGTTTTCCGTGGCGGCATCCAAACCATGCCCTGTGATGATCGGACTGGAAAGAGTTTGATCCAACTCCCCTTCCTCTGTCTGATCTGCTCGTGGCTCTTCTGGGAGGCCGTCACCGGGCTCAGGGCGGCAGGGAGCAGAGTCTGTTCAGATCAGAGTATGTTTAGATAAAAAAAAAAATCCAGATATTAAATGCAATCAACTGCAAACTTGCTCTTAACAGTCATTTATTTTTATAAGTCAATGATTCACAGCAGAAGCCTGGGTTTCTTGTTAATTGGTAGAGGGGTTTGTAGGAAGTTTTGTAAAAGATACTCCAAGTGTGGTGACACTTACTGTCAACAAATTCTATTCAAGGACCCAAACCAGCAATGAATCAGTACTACAACCAACATTTTCTACCTTACTCTTCATCTGTGCCATGGAGCCCTGGTGGTGTGGTGACATTTTCTTTCATTAAGTCAATAAAACATCCTGCTGATGTAAATCCTTGCTAGAGCAACAGATGTGCATTAATCTGCAGCTGAGAATAGTTCCTAGCAAATGCACTACTGGCTCCTACTTGAGTAACATTTGGTAAAAACTGCTGTGCCCAGTGGTTTCATGAAACCACTGGGCCTTTTTAAAGATTGATGTCTTCAGGAGCACCAACAGGCCAGGGATGTCAGAAAGTGTTGAGAGAATAATGTTCTGGTGGGATTTGCTGGAAATAAGAAAAATACAGACTATTGTCAACCATATCCTTTAAAGTAACATTTGCTCTTTCATGTTTGTTCACTGTAGTTAATCAATAGCTTTACATACAGTAGAGGAAAAAAGGACCAATCAGCATCAACCTCCAAAACAGAAAAGCTCAGAAAACGGCTTTGAAGCAAAATGTGAAACTATCCAGGCTCTGATTTTAATGACTCATGATGGAGCAGCTCTACATGTCTGCAGATGTTGTCTCAATCGTTACCCAGGTGCTTTCACTGCTGCTGCAGGCCATCGTATCAGCATCCATGAAACATCAGGAGCTCTCAAGAATACTTGTAATGGGGATAGCTGCAGACATTCACCCACTGCAATTACAAATGGAGTCTCCCTCCAGCACGACTGCAGCAGTCCAAACCCTAAATACAACTCTCATGTTACAGTAAACTTTGTCTGTTTTTTTTTTTTTTTTATTAAAAGCTAGACACACCTACGTGAGTTAAGACATTTTATTGTGTTGTGGACATGCAAAGTAACATTACAATACAAACAAGAAACTTTGTGGCTTGTCCCAATTTAAATCTCCTAACAAAACAGTTCCCTTCTTAAAATAAAACTGTTTTTAATAGCAAAATAAAAACACATGAAATGTTCTCAAAGTCTTCAAACTGACCTAAATCACATGCCAAACTAAGTGTTTTTCATCACAGACATGATTAAACTTGCCAGTTTCTAAAGCTAATGGTAATGTTTCTGATCGACTGGATGCTACTTCCTGCTGCTTTGTCATGTTCTCCTCAGCATTAGAAACAATTTTAGCCAAAGATTTCAACCTGCATAAAACATTTAAAGATTCCTACATTTATGCAAGGCTGCTGATGTGGTCCAGAGCGCCTGCAGGTAGGTACATACAGCTGTTCAACCTTAAAAAGCATTTGAAAAACTGGAACAACATGTACACTGCTCTGCTTTAATCAATACAGACTGTGACTTAACTCCCTCTGGATCCAGTCTGGATTCAAACATGACTTTAGCTCTTGCTAATTTGCTCAGGCTTCCCCTCAAATCCAACAACTGTGACAGACAAAAATCAGCAGTAATAACTCACTCTCTGGCTGATTTGCTGCTGGTGGCGGTTCAAGGGAGCGCTGGGAGCCAGAGACAGAGTGGGAGGACAAGTGCAGCTCCTCCACTGAGGACTCGGGGCTGTCTGACACCGGTGCCAAGGAGATCTGAGTGTCCAGGTCCAGGAAGGGGGAGAAGGAGAGTCTAGCTGGGTCGATGTCCTGGAGTTGGTTGATGATGTCGCTGATTGACTCCTTCATGCTGTCGAGCTCCTTCACGTTCTGCCTGTTAGTGGCCTGAAGCCCTGAGGTGTTCATAGTCACACAGCCTGAAAGGAGCAGGAAGAGGTCCACAAAAAAAGTCAGAAACAAAAACAGAAATTTGTTTAAAAAAATAAACCAGGGACACAAGTACAAAGAAAGCACCAACATCTTCAAATAAGATCTTACTGAAAACCAAACATTTTTTATCAGATGGATGATTATTCAACACAAACCCTGACAGAACATTTGGGGTCATTATTAAAACTTTGGAAACCCTTTTCAAACCAAAATAAAAAGTGAATCCTATTGATTTCACCCAAAATCACGGAGTGGCCGCAGTATATACCCAAGCTAAAGAATCAGATTAATCTTGGGGTCACATGAGTGGCCATGGCCCCTGGGCTGGGAACCAGTGTAACAGCATGTGACAGACAGGTATGACATATGAAAGAGGATGATTAGGAGCAATATGAAGATACAGTGAAAGTTAATTTATAAGAAAAATGTTATTAGGATGATAATTTCCAAAGATCACACTTAATCTAGATGATAAAGTGCAAAATCATTATTCACAGACACTGTGAATATATAACTCATTTTGAGTTTTATATTACTTTATAATGTGCTCCACTGTATTTCATAGAGAAATATTGCACTTTTGTTTTACTTATTTCTACAGTTATAGAACAGCTGTAGTTACTTTTCATGTGGATTTTACAGGCAAAAGACAAATCTTTTACAATATGACTCAGTCACAGATAAAATGTCAAAACCTTACACGAATTAGTTCAAATTGGCTCCACCTACCAAAGCACTAATGATCCAGTAGTATAATATTAAACACTGAACGTTCTGAATAATTTTAGCTAGTTCCCAATTAAATTTAATGCAATACTTTTTTTTACAGTGTAATATTGCAACATTCCCTTAAGTAAACGATCTAATTACTTCTCCCACTATTGGGTCACTTTATGACACAAACGCGTAAAATGCGCTTATTGTAGGTCGGTTTGGACAAAAGCCTTTTTGACAAATGAATGTGAAATAACATCACACGCACGTGTTGCTCCGCCGTGTGAACTGTATGGTTTTCAGGCGCATCTGAATCTGGAGCATTTTCTTCTTGATGTGTTTGACGCCTATCCAACCGTGGCGCAGATACGGCACGCAAAACTCTGCGGCGAGGATCTTTCTCCAAACAAATGAGCGCTTTACCATGTATAGAGTGCGGTTAGGTCGCAGGGGAATAAATCTCGTTGGTTATCAGAGCTGGCGTGGATGTGGAAACACTCGCAGGGGGGCCAATGTGCTTTTAACTCCCCGCTGAAAATGACTTTTCTCCCGCTTGCTGAGGAAATCTCTCAGACAAAAACTTTTTCCAATTCCTCTTCCACAAAGCAACTAAAGCCCGGTCCCGTCTGGTTTCGTAGTAAGGCTGCAGGAAATGCCTAATTTCGTGCTGAATCAAATGAAGCCAAAAATGCGCCCGCGAGCCTGCGCGCGTCAAGGACACATTGTGAGATAGAAAGCTTATAGAAAGCTTATATGTTGGAGGAGCTAAGCAGGATTTACAACAGTTAACTGTTAGGTGTTCACAGACACATGTGAATGAATTTGGATCTGTTAAATGCACAACTAAACGTTGTATAGAATTACAAACAATACTCGTTTAAATGAACTTACTTTTGTCGGAGGTTGCAGAATACTTAGTGAGTTTACTCTTGCTGGGAAAAAAAAGCCTCCGTCCTTCTCTGCCTTTCTTCCCTCCCCCTCACTTTGCTTTTTGTCTTCCACGATCCTGAACTTCTGAATCAAATTTCAGGACGGACAAAATACTAGGCTTTTCCTCCGCCCACACACGGTTTTTTCCCTGGGTACCATGTCAAACACCATATGGAGTAAATAAAGCCTGTGCAGCAGCAGCAGCAGGAGGAGGAGGAGGAGCAGCAGGCAACACTTCAGCAGCAGTTTAGCTTCAAATTCAACATTAACAATCACATCTATCACAAACTCGAGTTCATCTAAACAGAGCAGTAAACATTTACACTCAAACCAAACTTTAGTGCCTCACTAATATTCATACATGGGATAAATGTGAGCAGGCTACTACCGTTTTAAAGACTTCACTGTGGTTTAAATTCTGCATGTACAGTATTATGAGAATGACAAAACTACAGACCTTATATGAGGCTCACAGGGAACGTCTTCTTGTGCTTTTGTATTTTTATCTACTGTAAAAATACATTAAATATGGATCAAGCTTTATTTTCTGTCAGTAATAATTCAGAGCTAAATGTAAACACTAATATAATTCAACTACAGGTACTTGGCACATTCTGTCAAAACAAGAACTTTATAAATGCAAAATGTTTTTTTAAAGTCTTCCTCAGTAAAAGGTGAAGATGTTTATAGAGAAAATTAAATTTAAATCCCAGTATGCTGACAACAATCTGCAGTTTTTAAAAGAAACCTGATCCATATAGTGCAACATTCATATGTTAACACACTGTTGAGTTGCTGTGACACACAGCAGTGGTCACACCTATTTCGATTTCACAAATCTTTTCCAATTGCTCGTCTGAACCTTTGCTTTCCTGCTGCACAGGAAGTAATGAGCCTTGTTTCAACAGCAGGAACTTTTTTTTTGGAAGCCAAAAGAAGCTGGCGGTTGGCTCCACTGATACCACAGAAGCTGAACTGAAAACCCAGGGAAGATGTCAATAAGATAAAAACAAATACTTGACTATAACTTTCAACAGCAGAGGGGGGTGTGTGGAATAAATCCAGCGTTTTCAGAGAACAGTGAGAGGACAACACAGAAGTGAAGTTTCATTCTGCGGCATCACTGTTACTACTGATGGTCTTCACAGCTCTTTACCATCCTCCTTCTGTTGGTCTGATCTGCATCAGTCTGCAGCAGCACAAATCGCTCACCACACTCTTCAAAGCAAAGCCCTTACATCAAACCTGAAATCAGTTCACAAAGCTGAAACACAAAACACAGCCTGCTACACGTTAGGCGAACTGACACAAGCGCCCATTTTACCATTTGCTAATAGGCTAATTTTATTTCATTAAAAAGCATATTCAAAATATACAGAGATAACATTCATTTACTAGCAACATAAATCAATAAATTAAAAATGATGACTATAAACAACGTATTTCAATTTTTGTCTCGTAAATATACACAAACACTGGTTCACAGTTTATCACCCTGTGGAATGAGTGTAGGAGAAAAGGGGGTTTATGTGACAAACAACCAGCAGCATGTTTGAAATACCAGACCAGGTCCTTTAAAGTCACCAGTGGGGACAGAGAAGGGAGAGCAGGTCCACCGCAGCACAACAGGCTTCTGGTTGGCTAGTTCCAGCTGGAGTCTGCTTTTTAGCTAAAGCAAAGCAAGCTGTGGGCTTGCTAAACGTGAACAAACGTGAGCTGTGAAAGTCACACAGTGTAGTTGGGGGGGTCCCCATCAGTCCTCTGACAACAGCCGGTGGAAGTGGTCCTTCCTCTTCTTCAGCACCTCCCGAAAATCCTCCTGAAAAAACACGACAGATGAGATATCAGGACAGAACAATGAGATGGCGAGAGGAGAGACAGTCGGCAGATGTTGCTGCAGATAACCAGCTGTTTAATTCATGACCTGCTGATAAAACAGAAAAATCTAATGGCTGCACTTTGACTGTAGGAATAAACCTGAGCTACAAAAACAACAGTTCTCAAACTATGTAACTGTACAATGACAACAAAAAAACATTTTGTTTTTAATTTTACATTTTCACTCAAGTTGCCCATTTGTAGGATCTGAACATTTCTCAACATTGACCTGTGTTGGTGGTGGGGGGTGGGGATGGGATAAGCTCATAATGTGACAGCCATACCACTGCAGATAGTTTCTCCATGTAAGGAATGAGTTTCTGGAGCTCTCGGTCTGTGGACTCTCCGGACCAGCTCTTGATTGGAATCGTGTTCATCAGCTGCAAAAACACCAAAGACTCAAAATTAATAAAAAGCCTTCTGTCTGTTTCACAGTGCAATTGTGAGAGGATGTCAGAGAACCAAGTTGGAGGATGTTCACTAAAAAAAACACAAAAACAAACACTTGTTTTGATGTTATTAAAGATTGAGTGATATTCTAGATTTTTTTTAACCATGAAAAGATTAAAACCACCACTGACCTGATCCAACTAGTCTATGCATCCAAAGCCTGATACTTTTATTCCTCTCATAGAAATCGCTTATTGTCCAAAAACTATTAAAACCTCATCACTGCCCTGGCTGACATCTTCCTTCACTACGATAAACATGAGCACTAGAGTTTTTTTGTTTTACATTTGGATCCATCCCACATCAGTCTCAAACACATACAGGATTTGGTCCAGTTTGAGTTCTATCAATAGGCTTATCCAGTAAAAATGGCAAGTTTACACCAGCATTTAATGTCACAGAGCCACAGCGCTTACATGGTACGGGTATGTGTGCGGCGCGTTGTCCAGAACCACCGTCTTGGCAAGATCCCTCTCCAGAATGCTGAGATCCTTGATGTAGTGTCCGAGGACACAGACACAGTTGTCCTGATACAGACGATGCCTGCAAGGGAAATCAATGTTAAAAACATTTACAGGTTTGAATCAAGCATCAGTACGCTATATCTAACACTGGTATAAAGGGTGCATCTCTCTCTCTCAGACAATACAACATGTTCCTATATACAAGCCCACAATCTGACACAAAATCCATAGAGATTAATTTATAATACAATACACTGCAATTTAAAGCTGGTTTGAATCAGCAGCGATTAGGATTTGACATTTTCCATTATTGAAGTGTGACTTTCCTTAATTTTGTCTGAAATACTGACCTGGAAATGCCCCACAAAACAACGTCTTCTGCCATACCTGACAGACGGCACGTCTGCACCACTGCAGCAAAGAGTTTACGAAACCCAAGTGGAAGCAAATCGGACACATACCGAAACAGTTTCCTCTGTGGGTCCAAGAAGTCCAGGATCTTCTCAGCGTATTCCTTCTTTGCACATGTGTAAACAAACAGCTGGAAAAGAACGCAAACAGCAGCTGGAACTGATCCCACACAAACCAGAAGTCAACAGGCATCAAGACACTCTGCAAGCTACATGTTGTTTAAGTCATTTTTATATACAAAGAAAAATAAGATAACAGTGGTAATTACAGTGGTTGAGGAGTGCAGGGCTTCTGGCTCTGTTCGCCGAACAAAGTTTCATTTTTGCAGAACAACACATTATCTGACAAAGTCTTTCCACAAAGAACAAACTGATACTGAAGACAGCACTTGTCTAGTGCCAGACAAATTCACTATATAATCAAATCAACACATACCTCATAGATTTTTGCCACGGCCTGCAGAAACTCCTTCACATGTGGTCGTAGGATCATGTACACCTGTGAACAACAGTGGAGCATATCAGGATAGTTACTGCTGTCCATTTTCCAAAAACACTAAGTTTAGAGATACATTTACACTTTTATACAGAACAAACCCTGATTTTAGGGCTCAAGGAAAATCTCTTTTCAGAGACTTCAATGCTTTTCAGCAGTCGATCATCACTTCAGGCATATCAGGGCACAATCAAGGTGCCACCAATGAATATGAATCTTGAAAATGGTCTATTACTGCAACAATTACTTGATTAATTGATTAGTTGAACCAGTCTGATAATCTAATAGCTGCTATATTAATTTTTGAGCAAAAAAAAGCCAAACATTTGCTGGTTCAGCTTTTGCAGATGCGAGATGTCTGTTAGTAAACTGAATATGTTTGCCATCTGCGTGTTTGGACACGGCACCTTGGGCTGACAGCTCGTGAGAGTTCATTAATCAAGAAAAAAAACTGCAACCTAATCAAGAATTAAAAATAACCGCAGCTGTAGCTCTACAATGATCTCTGTAGTACCCATATATACACACATTATTGTGGTAAACATGATAAATGCAATGATCACTAGTTACCTAATGACACAAACAACAACACAATGCAAATGATTACTAGTCACAAAGTCCCGTCACTGTTATTGTTAGTGCTGGCATTTCTCCACATTAAGATTTCCTTTTATCTCCTGCTTCCTGTCTCCCCTCACTGAAGAGGACAGACACACTGAAGTGATTCTTACATCATCCTTTTTTTAATTTTTTTTTAAAAACTTTCTTCACCAACTGAAAGACAGGCTTGTGAACGGCAGGGTGCAGCGAGTGGTCACCTTGTAGTGATGGTCCTGGAAAGCTGCACGAAAGGTGTAGTCTGCATCCTCAATCACATTCAGGGAGCTGAACATCAGGGTCTCCTCCTGGAAGGACAAGGTTTATCTGCACTAGTTTATTTTTGTATAAAACCCTCATGCTGCTTTAACTTTGTCAATGCAATGGTGATGATGGACAGTCTCTGCTTTAATCACAGTGAAGTCACATGGACAAAGAAACTGATGTTGATTAATTCAAACCAAAAAGAAAAGATGTAAGACAGATGGACAAAAAAAACAAAAACAACCTGTGTTTGAGCCTAGCTCAGGAAAACAATACACATCTACTGCTGCTGTCTTGATCATCACACAATGATAAACTAATTAGACGCCAAGTTATTTGATATTCATACAGCCTCATTCTACCAACAAGAAGAAGCCGCTCATCCTACTTTTCAAAATTACTCAGATGATACAAAGTCAAGTTTATTGTCATGACAAGTCCCACAGGTTGGGGCATGTGGCAAATTAAATCCAATACACCTGTGCAAACTCACCAGGTCGATCACTAGTGTGGCCTCGGGAGTGCTCCTGGTCTTAGGAGGAATATCTCTGAGTCGCAACCGGGAATGCTGTGACTGCAGTGGTATGTTCTTGATGAAAACAATTCTGGAAAGGACAATAAGACTTATTAACACCAAGAGAGATATGTACAAATGTTATGGCTACGGCCGAGTGCGCTCCCAGCACCTCGTCCGCCTGCCCTGGTCCCATCAATAGCTCCACCCCGACAGGTGCTGGAGCGCACTCCCGGCGACGAGGCACACTTGCTCCCAATCAGTGGAGCAGTACTTAAGGTAAACGTTGGTGTGTCCTCGTCGCCAGATGATCTCTCGACATCCTGCCATCATCAGTAAGCAAGTCCGATCTGACTAATCTGTGTTTACTTTTTTTGTTTTGCTGATCCCTGTGGTTTTTGCATTTATCTGAACTGAACTCTGAATCGCTGTACTAGTGGCTTTTGCTTTGTGCCAGTGGAACTCTCCTTGAGCCTTATTTTGGACTGAACTATGGTTTTGGGAAGTTTGGGTTTTGTTTGCCTCTTTGCACCCTGCTGTCTCCTCGCAGCCCGAGCTTCTTAGTTGAGGATTATCCTGTGGGGACGGTACGCGCCATCCTCAGCGACTCCGCTTCCCAGACGCCCATTCCATGCTGACGTTGACCTGGGCTGCGATCACAGTAGCTGGGAGCCATAGCTTTCCCCCACCAGCGGATCCATGCACCGGCCGGCAGTCATCTCGCCATCTGCTGCCTCCCTGCACAGCATCGCTCTTCAGTTCCAGGTTCCCATCATGCACATAGTCAGTATTTGATCTGCGGAGTGTTCTCATCCTCCTCCTCTCTTCTCAATTTAGTGGCTGTCGGTACTCTCCGCACCCCGGGTTGCTCACCGAGTGGTCCAGTTGACTCAGTTCCCAGTCACCCGTACCGGCCGTAACGTCCACACTACTCCTTACACCTTCTGTTACCAGTCCTGATTAAAAATCTTTGTTTATCTGAAGTCTGTGTCCGAGTTCTGCACTTACTGGGTCCTCAGTTCCTGGTCCTGACGGTTAGCCGTAACAACAAAAGAACATGAAACAGGCAAGGAGTGATGAGCTCTGACTGTGTAGAAATCAGTTCAAAAGGCAACAGTCAAATAAAAAAAACTAACATTTTTATTTTAATTATTAGGGCACTGAATTTTATTTTTGCTCACTTCATTATGATTTGAAACACAACTAGCTAAATGGAGCTGACTTGAGCAGGAAGACGCCCCCCTGGGGCAGACGTGTTTGCGCGTTCCACTCTCAAATGCCGGCTTTTTCTTTTGTTCTTTTTTTGTGTGTTTTTTACTCTTTCTGCAGTGCACAAATGTCATGCACTGCTAACATACAACAGACAAACAAATTAAACTGTGGAGCACAGAGGCTGAAGGCATCCTGCAGGACTGTTTCGCCCAGACAGACTGGGATGTGTTTAAAGCTGACTTTTCTGTCAGCGTACAGGACTATGCTGAGTATGTGACCGGGTACATTAGTACCTGTATTGACAACATTGTGCCCACCATACAAGTCAGGAGGTTCCCCAACCAGAAGCCCTGGATAAACAGTCAGGTACGCCACATGCTGCATGCTCGCTCTCATGCATTCAGATCAGGCGATGAGACGGAGTACAAAGCTGCGACGTACAGACTGAGGAAAGCCATCACAGCGGCCAAGAGGCTGTACAGAGAGAAGCTGAATGGCTTCTATTCTACTGCTGACTCTGGATGGATGTGGCAAGGCCTGCAGCACATCACAGACTACAGGACCACCACCAGCATCATCAGCTCCACAGACAGCCTGCTGGATGATGTCAACACCTTCTACACCCACTTTGAGACCTCCAGCCACAGCACAGACAGGAGGCACACACACAACCAGACCCCCCAA